GGGTACTGAAATAGAAAAGCATAGATCATGGTTAGAAAGCAGCAGGTACTCCAGCTGAGGACAAACATTGTATATAAGTGAAGGAAATAAAATAGGATTAATTTATTTATAGATTATGAAGAGCCTTACGTGCTAAGAAATTTGGTTGTCATTTAACAGGGATCCACTGAAGATTATCGAGCAAGAGACAACAATCAGAAGACTATTTCAATAGTCTTAGAAGTAATGGGGGCTTGGACTAGTGTAGTGAGGTGAAGATGGAAAAGGAGACATCTAGCAAAAAAAATTGCAGAGGTAGAATAGACCAGACTTGACACATGATTGAATACAGTCTTAGCTGGATATACCCAAAAGCCATAGAAAAGTGGATCTGAGCTATGAGAGAGTTCAGAGCTAGCGACAGAAAACAGTAGTTGGATTATTGAGGGGAGAGTGTATACAAGAAATAAAAGAAGAGGCCAGAGAATTAATTCATTCAACAAATGTTTATTGAAAACTTACCATGTACCAAGAATCATTGTGGGACTAGGGATACAATGATGAAAAGATAAACATGGTATCTGCCCATATCCAACATTTATTTGGTGAAAAGAGGAGGACTAGCCAGTAACAAAAATAGAAAAGAAACAGAGCATTAGGATTAATAGTAGGTGTCACAAAAACCAAAGAGAATGTTTCCAGAAAAAATAAATGGTTGACAGTGTTATACTGTTTTGTGCTGCAGAGAATCACAGGACAAGAAGGACTGAGAAAAGATCATTAAGATGGTTAGAAAGTCACTAGTGATTTTCAAAAGAGCAGTTTATGGCATTACAGATGCAAACATCATCAAGAGGGGACTAGGTAGCGAGGGCAAAAACAATGTCATCCTTGTCTCTTCTTTCTCTCCTATCCTTTATCTGGTATATCAGAGAATCCTGTCAGCTTCACTTTTATAATCTCTCCAGAATCTGACCACTTCTCACCACCCGCACTGCCTCTACCCTGGTCCACACCACCATCTTCTCTTGCCTGGATTACTTCAATGACCTCCTAATTGGTCTCCCTGCTTCCACCCTTTTACCCCAGTTGATTCAACACAGCAGCCAGAGTGACCCTATCAAAATGGAAGTCAGACCATGTCACTCCTCTGCTTAAAACACTCCAGTAGCTCCCCATTTCACTTAGAGTTAATAGCATAAATCTTTACTACGAACTACAATGTCTTTCTTACATTTTTCTACTACTTTCCTGATCATGTCTCTTACCTTCCCTAATCTGCCCTTTGCTCCAACCACAGTGGTATCTTTGCCATTCTTCAAATACCCCAGGGACTTTGCAGTTGCTGTTCCCTCTGTCTGGAATGCTTTTTTCCTCAGTTCTCTACTTAAAAAATTACCTTCTCAGTGAGGCCTTCCCTGATCATGCTATCTAAAATTTCAACCATTCATTCCTTCACTAAAACATTTAATATCACCTTTCCCTACTTAGTTTTCTCCTTAGCACTTAATGCTATTTAATAACAGGCGTCAACAAACTATAACCTTTGGGCAAAATCTGGCCCACCATCTGTTTCTGTACAGTCCACAAGCTAAAAATGGTTTACATTTAAATGGTTGAAATAAATCAAAAGAAGAATAATATTTGACGACACATGAAAATTATATGAAATTCAAATTTCAGTATTCCTAAATATAAATTTTATTGGAACACGGTCATGTCCATTTGTTTACATATTGTCTATGGCTGCTTTCATGGTACAGCAGCAGAGTTGAGTAACTGCAACAGAGACTGTATGGCCTGCAAAATCTAAAATATTTATTGTGATTCTTTACAGAAAATTGGCCAACCCCTGTAATATACCATAATACTTATTTATCTTTTTACTGTCTGTCTCTCTTAGTAGAATATACTCCATGGGGGCAGGAGTTTTTGTCTATTTTGTTCATTACTATATCCCTACTGCCTAGAATAGTACTTAACCTGTAGTAGACAATCAATAAAATTTTTTTGAATGAATGAATACTGAAAAAATATAGAAAGTACTTTTGGGTTAAAGAATTTGGTGAAGAAAGGACAGTCATAGAGAGAACTGAAGTTTGAGGAGGATGACAAGGTTGAAGGAAGATTTTTGGATAAAAGAGACCTCAGAATAATTGTAATGACAGAGGAAAGAAACAGTAGAGAAAGATAAAAGAGCAAGGGTTGAGATATTTAGAGTAATGTCCCCAGAGAAAGTTCTTTCTTTCTCAGAGATAAGGGAGAAAAAAAATGGGTGAAGAAGAAAGAAACTGATGAAGTTCATATCAGTGGCCAAAAGCTCACCAAATTACACAATAAGGTCTTTTACTAAAACAAAGGAGAGGGCATTGGGGTTAAGGACAGAAAAAATGTTTTGGAATCACCATTGTAGGGAATATGATAGAAAATCAACAAGAGTCAGTATTATTGATTGCCTAGCTAAAAAAACATGAAATTTTACCAGACCCAATAAACATGGTTTCATAAATTTTCCCTACAATACTCAAGGAGCTCAAGGGAAGGAGTGAAAAAAGCAGACAACGAAAATGAACAAAGGTTAGACAATGGCAAGGTGGCAATAGTAAAAATATGATGGATTATGTACTTTTTCACCTTTCTACCTGTCCTAGTGAATAGGAGGGTATTCTTTGCATATGGAAGGTATCCAATCGATGTCTGCTAAATTTAAGAAAGGAAGATGAAATGGAGAAATACAGTAAGAGTAATCAACGAGGTTACCTGGAACATATTCAAAATAACCTTTGGCTTCACCACCAATCTGGCCTTAAATGATACGGTTACACATTAAGTACATGCTATCAAAATGTTCCTGGTTTCCTGCTCTTCTGTTCTTCCCCTCCTGACTACTAAAACATTTGAACTCCCAATTACAGGCTCTAGGATCAAAGTTGACATTAGAGGAGATTAAAGAAGCACTGTCTCAAGTCTGGGGAGACTGTATCCAGTCAACTTACATTCTTCTTCTGGTAACTGCATCCCAGTCTGGCTCCCTAAAGGGGTTCTGCTCTTTAAAATAGTCTCATATCCCAGTCCCTTTATGTTTGGAGCCCTACCTTGCTCTTTCTAGTCTGCCTACACACACCTCCATTCCTCAAAGATTTGAGTACTGCCTCTGACTCCAGATCTCTGTGGTTGGGCCGGCCTGTGGCTCACTCGGGAGAGTGTGGTGCTGATAACACCAAGGCCACGGGTTCGGATCCCATATATTGATGGCCGGTTGCTCACTTGGTGAGCGTGGTGCTGACAACACCAAGTCAAGGGTTAAGATCCCCTTACCGGTCATCTTTTTAAAAAAAAAAAAAAAAAAAAGACAGATCTCTGTGGTTGAGGCCCTGTTCCCTGCTGATATGCTTATGTGATGCCAACTACATGTGCGCCTCACTTATGGAATATTTTCAACACTTAGATTTCCCTCATCGGCATGCTCTGTGCTCTAGTTATCTGCCCATTAGGATACCCTGATGCCAGCTGCTTGGCTGAGTTAAAGGCAACTATGCCTTGTTTATCTCTATAACCTCAGAGTCTAGCACAGTGTCGGGTACTGTATTCTTCCTTTCTACCTTGACTAACTGATTAGATATCCTCCTTTGCCTACAGATGCATCCATTCCCCAACTGGCATGTCTATTTCCAGGTTCAGGTCTTTCCCAATCTGACTGACCCACCATGTCATAAATCATGGAAGTTCCAAATCTATGGGATCACCTTCTTTACAAGTCTTTAAGTAAACAGTAGGCAACTACCTTTCTGAAATAGTTAATACCATCCTGTGCAGAAATACAATGAATTAGGTAACAAAATCTGTGTGATCATCTTCTTTTCAGGTCTTAAAGTAAACAGTAGGCAACTATCTTCTGAAACAGTTAAATGCTAGCCTGTGCAGAAACATGAATTAAGTAACATTTCAACTTCTCTTCCAGGACTATGACTTTATAACACATAAACTAAATAGCAAATATTCTTTTCAAAGAAAATCTAAAGTATTTAGCTAGATAAACAAACCTTCAAAGATATACAAACTTTCAAAGAGAGTGTCTAGAATCCCTGCCCTTAAATTACGTATTTCCCCCTAAACCTGTTATTAAAACTTGAATGGCAACAAAACCTTTATATATCATTTGGATCCACACCTAACCTTCTAGTTTTTTCATCCTTCCAAGAGCCAATATTCCCCATTATGTGCATACTATATGATACCCAAAGGAAGAAATGTCCCAATTGTTTTGGGTTATATGAATGGCTCTATATTTAACATCTCTTTTACCTTTTAGAATTTTGTCCTGATGAGAAATCAGTTGCTAAACATTTTCTAGAGTGTTTGGAAAGCCAAGAGATAGAACCAAGAAAGTGAAAGAATGGACACTTCATCCAAGTATTTGCTCTCAATGAATCCTTGACAAAAATGTGTGCCTTAAAATTTAGTTTGCTTTGGGCCGGCCCGGTGGCGCACTGGAGAGTGCGCCGCTTGGGAGCACGGCGGTGCTCCCGCCGTAGGTTTGGATCCCATGTGGAGACCGGTTCCCGCTCACTGGCTGAGCGTGGTGCGGGCGCAACACCGAGGGTTGCGATCCCATTGCCGGTCCCCGGTACGGGCGCAACACCGAGGGTTGCGATCCCGTTACCAGTCAGTAAAAAAGACAAAAAGAAAAAAAAAAATTAGTTTGCTTCAAAGGACAATATTGCAGATGGTTAATAGCAGATAACTTTGTTCAGGAGTTCCAATGATATATTACGTTTCAGAATACGATACAAAAATAAACAGTAAGTAATGGAATTAATGACCTTCCAAATTCTCTCTCCCTTTGGGAAGTCCCACTCAATGTTTACAGTGCACAAATCAATAAAATGTCAATTTGACTTTGTTCTGTGTGAAGGAACTCTCAGACATCCTAAACTAACAGCCAAAAAGTCACAATAATGCATCTATCTCTCTGCCACTGCACATAAGAACATTTGCTGCCTCTCTGAAAAATATATAAATCAAAGGACCTTATCAAGTTGTTTCAAATGCAGGTAACAGGAAGCTATGTTCCTCTGCAGCTTGGCCAAGTCCAGATCCGTCTGATCAAATGAATAATACCTCAGAGAATAACAGTACCAGTGTAGGGCATCAGCATAATTCTGTACCTAAAGTTTAAAAAGAAACAACAAAATCACAGAGATATCTCTACATTTGACCCTAATCTTTCCCAAGTCACCTCTAGAAACAAACAAGAGCTGGTATTGGTTTCTTTTTTAGGCAACCAAAACACATAACCTTTTTTTATTGCATTCTAGTGCATTTTATTATCAGTCTTGATCAGTATAAGTTTTAGATAAAGTGGTAATCAATATCCTCTCTTTTTCCTACACATTAGAAATTTCACTCATGGAATAGAGTCTAAAAGGATGGTGAACAACCCAGAAAACTCAAAATCCATTTTAAAAGCTATTAAAACAACAATGATAAAAATTTTTAAAGAGAACACCCATAATTCACCACACTACAGGTATTTTCATTTTTTTATGTTCCATATTAACTTTATCTTTTTGTATATTTGCATAATTATAATCAAAGTGTATATAGAATTTAATATTCTATTCATTTAATTTTGATTTGCACATATTAATCTATGTTGCTATGTAGTTATCAGTGTTAAGGTATATATAACATTTAATCAAATTAATATATCATGATTAGGGCTGGCCGGTTAGCTTAACTGATTAGAGCACAGCCTTATAACACCAAGGTTACAGGTTCAGATCCCCTACCAGCCAGCTTCCAAAAAAATTTTAATTTAATTTAATTAAAAAATATATATATATAAAATGATTTTCTCATTTTCTTAATGTTAGACATTTAATGAATTTCTGGGGTTTTCACTATTATAATTAATGCTGCTACATTTTTGTACAAAAACATATTTTTCTTATGGGTCACTTTAAATTTTTCAATGGTAAGAAGCTTTTAGAAAAAATCTGGTAGATTAAAAAAACTATCAAGGCTAATTCTAAGAAAATTTAGATTGTTTATAAATACCAAGGTAATGTAAATGAGTCCCTTGTGCTACATTGAGAAGCTTCATATTTTTCAATTAATAACAGGAGTCATCAGGACCTTCAAGAAATAAAATGCTCTCTTCAACTAGAAACAACTGTACTAAGTAGGCAAAACCCTGCTTTTGACAATTTAGAAATAAGATTACATTCTTTTTGTTTTTCTTAAGATTACATTCTTTTCCAGGATTGGAAGTGGAAGTTAAAAAAAAAATCATTCAACAAGACTGCAAAATGAGGGAAAAGAAAAAGAATCAATAGGAGAAATGGAATTGAGTAGTTTTTCAACTGTTCAGTAAACAAATAAATAAAAGAGAACAAGAATACTATTCTATTTTGCTGCACCGAGCCACAAACCCTAGGTCTCTATATGCTCCTATAAGGTATTTTCCTTCCTTGTCTTGGATCTAATTCTTTTGTTTCTTAAGCTTTGTTCCCTTTATTTCTCCTCTCTTTTCTCTTCACCTCTAACTCTCTCCTACAACACCTACCACAACTTTTTTGAAAACACCTTTACTGAATAACAATTGACATACAAAAAGCCACACATATTTTCTTTTTTTAAATTGATATATAATAATCATATGTGGTTCATGTAGAGAATGTGTGCTGTAGGTCACTAGAAATTAGTCCTCCTATCTAACTGTAATTTTGTGTCCATTAACCAACCACTTCCTTTCCCCATGACCCCTAACTCTTCCCAGACTCTAATAACCATTATTCTACTCTACTTTTATGAAATCAACTTTTTTAGCTTCCACATATGAATGAAAACATGCCATGTTTATTTTTCTGTGCTCAGCTGGTTTCACTTAACATAACATCTTCCAGGCTCATCCATGTTGTTGTAAATGGCAGAATTTTGTTCTTTTTCTATGGCCAAATAGTATTCCATTGTGTATATACACTGCATTTTCCTTATCCAGTCATCCACTGATGGACATTTAGGTTGGTTCCATATCTTGACTATTGTAAATAGAGCTGCAACGAACATGGGAGTGCAGGTATCCCTCTGACATGATGATTTCCATTCCTTTGGGTATACACCCAGCAGCAAGTTTGCTGGATCATATGGTAGTTCTATCTATAGTTGTTCTAGAAACCTCCATACTGTTTTCCATAATGGCTATACTAGTTTATAGTCCCACCAACAGTGTACAAGAGTTCCCTTTTCCCCACATCCTCACCAGAATTTGTTGTTCTCAGTCTTTTTGATAAAACCAGTCTAACTGGAGTGAGATGATATCTCAGTGTGGTTCTGATTTGCATTTCACTGATGATTACTGATGCTGATGAGCATTTTTTCTTATTTTACAAATAATTTCTCCCATTCTGTAGACTGTCATTTCACTCTGTTGAGTATTTTCTTTGCTGTGCAGAAGATTTTTAGTTTGATATAACCCCATTTATTTATTCTTTCACTGCTTGTGCTTTTGGGGTCTTATTCACAAAGTCTTTGCCCAGTCCTACTTCTTGAAGTGTTTCCCCTATGTTTTCTTCTAGGAGTTTTATAATTTCAGGTCTTATACTTAACTTTTTAATCCATTTTGAGTTGATTTGGGTATATGGTGAGAGGTATGGGTCTAGTTTCATTCTCCTACACATGGATATCCAGTTATCCCAGCATCATTTACTGAAGAGGCTGTCCTTTCCCCAATGTATGTTCTTGGTGCCTTCGTCAAAGATCAGTTGGCTGTAAGTACCTGGGTTGATTTCTGGGTCCTCTATTCTGTTCCATTGCTCTCTTTCATTATTTTGAAGATATTGCTCCACTGAGTTCTTGCTTGCATTGCTTCCAAAAAGAAATCTGATGTTTTTGGATCCCCCATACCAGCCAGACACAAACAACAACAAAATTCTGATGTTCTCCTTAATTTATTCCTGTGAGTGCAGGGTGTCATTTTTTTCTGGTTGCTTTTAAAATATACTCTTTATCATTAGTTTTGAGCAACTTGATTACTATGTGCCTCAGTGTCATTTTCTTGTGTTTCTTATGTTTGGGGTTTGCTAAAATTCTTGAATCTGTGGGTTTAGAGTTTTAATTGTTTTGAAGGTTTTTAAGCATTATTTCTTCAAATATTTATTCTTTCCCTCCTGATTTGGGAATTCCAATTACCCATATATTAAGCCACGTGAAGTTGTCTATCTATCACACTGATGCTCTTTTAATTTTTAAAGTTGTTTCTGTGTTTCATTTTAGATAGCTTTTCTATGACTTCAAGTTCACCAATCTTTTCTTCTACAATGTCTAACCTAATGTTAATATTAGCAAGTATATTTTTCATCCTAGACATTATGGTTTTCATATCTAGAAGTTTAATTTAGGTCTATTTATATCTTCCATGCCTCTACTTAACTGTCTTAATGTACAGAGTTTAATTATAAGAGCTATTTTAATGTCCTTCTCTGTTAATTCTACCTTCTGTGCCAGTTCTGTGTCAGTTTCAACTGATTGCTTATTCTGCTCTTTATAGGTTGTGTTTTCCTGCCTCTTTTCATACTTGGTAATTTTTTTTACTAGACGCCAGACATTGTGAACTTAACCTTTCTAGATCCAGTACAGTTTTGTATTCCTATAAATATTCTTGAACTCTGATCTGGGAAGCAATTAAGTTCCTTGTGATCAATTTGATCCTTTCATGTTATACTTTTGTGATTTTTGAGTTGGGTTTGAAGCACGGCTCAGTGTGGGACTAATTATTCCCCACTCCTGAGATAATATTCTTCTGAGTTCTCTACCCTTTGCCCCATGAATTAGATGTTTTCCAGTCTGAGTGGTACGAATAGGCTCTATTCCTAGACACATATGAGTGCCAGACACTGTTCTCTCTAATATTTTTAGATGATTATCTCCCTAGCTTCAGGATGTTCCATGTACATCCTGATCAGTACTCTGCTAAACACTTGGAGGAGGACCCTCTGCTCACTAGGGTTCTCTCCTTGTGCTGTGTGCTCCTCTCTGGTACTCTGTCCTATGAACTCTAGCCGCTTTGGTCTCCCCAGACTCTCAGCTCCATCTGCTCAAATCAGAATGCCTGAAAGGCTCCACTTCAGTTTCCCTTCCTGTGCTATATCCTGAAAACTCAAGGCAGAAAGCTGCACAATTGAAGTGTTCACCTTATTGCCTGTCTCCTAAGGATAATTCTCTTCATTGCCTGATGTTCAGTGTCGTAAAAGCCATTTTTTCCATGTATTTTGTCTTGTTTTTTTCGGAGGGGGTGCTGTTTAAGCAGGAACATAAACCAGTCTCTGCCACTATGTATTAGTTGGAAGGGGAAGTGGAAATGAACCACAATTTTTTTTAACAGTATATTCCATTTTATTTACACACACAGATACACAAATGTACACAAATATTAGAAGAAAATATATGAAAATTTTAAGAGTGATCAGATTATAAATGATTATTCTTTGCATTTTTTAAAAAATGTATCTTTAGTTTCAAATTTTTCTGCAAGAAACCTGGATTGTTTTGAAAAAAAATCTTCCTATACTTTTTATTGTATTATGACAAGGGTATCTGAACCTATGACCTGTGTTATAAGCACCATGCTCTAACCAAGTGAGCTAAGCAGACAGCCATGCACCATGACTTCTTTTTTTTTAAGATTATATTTTTTTATTTTAAATTCTTTTTATTTTCTATTCTTCCATTTTTTCAACTTCTCAATATACATTATAGTTGATTTTTGTGACCCTTTATCTGTTCTTCTTCCCCCCTTCCTCTTTCCATTCTCCCCATCATATTTGTTCACTCGTCTTAACAAGTTCAAGGAAATTATTGTGATTGTTGTGTCTTCTTCCCCCCACATGCTTTACTTGTGTGTTTATTTATTTACTTTTAGCTCCCACAAATAAATGAGAACGTGGTATTTCTCTTTCTGTGCCTGACTTGTTCCACTTAATATAATTTTCTCTAAGTCCATCCATGTTGCTGTGAATGATAGCATTTCATTCTTTTTTATAGCAGAGTAGAATTCCACTGTGCAGATATACCAGATTCCTTATCTACTAAACTGATGATGGACATTTGGGCTGGTTCCAAATCTTGACTATTGTAAACAGTGCTGCAATAAACACTAGAGTACAGGTATCCCTTCAGCATGATGATTTCTATTCCTCTGGGTATATTCCCAGCAGTAGAATAGCTAGGTAATATGGAAGATCTATCTGTAATTGTTTGAGGAACCTCCATACCATTTTCCGTAGAGGCTGCACCATTTTGTAGTCCCACCAACACTGTATGAGAGTTCCTTTTTCTCCACAACCTCATCAGCATTTATCATTCACACTCTTTTGGATCTTAGCCATCCTAACTGGAGTGAGATGGTATCTCAAAGTGGTTTGGATTTGCATTTCCCAAATGCTGAGTGATGTTGAGCATTTTTTCATTTGTCTGTTGGCCATTTGTATATCTTCCTTTGAGAAATGCCTATTCAGCTCCTTTGCCCATTTTTTAATTGGGTTACTTGTTTTTTTGCTGTAAAGTTGCTTGAGTTCTTTGTATATTCTGGATATTAATTCTCTGTCAGATGTATATTTTGCAAATATTTCCTCCCACTCTGTTGGTTGTCTTTTCACTCCGTTAATTGTTTCTTTGGCTGTGCAGAAGCTTTTTAGTTTGATATAATCCCATTTGTTTATTTTTCCTTTGGTTGCCTGTGCTTTGGGGACTGTATTCATGAAATCTGTACCCAATCCTACTTCCTGGACTGTTTCCCCTATGTTTTCTTTAAGGAGTTTTATTGTTTCAGGGTGTATATTTAATTCTTTAATCCATTTTGAGTTGATTTTGGTATATGATGAGAACTATGGGTCTAATTTCGTTCTCCTACATATGAACATCCAGTTTTCCCAGCACCATTTGTTGAAGAGGCAGTCTCTTCCCCAGTGTGTAGACTTGGTGCCTTTGTCAAAGAGCAGCTGGCTGTAGGTATACGGGTTGATTCCTGGGTTCTCTGTTCTATTTCATTGACCTGTGTGTCTGTTTTTATGCCAGTACCATGCTGTTTTGGATATTATAGCTTTGTAATATAGTTTAAAGTCAGGTAGTGTTATGCCTCTAGCTTTATTTTTCTTGCCGAGGATTGCTTTGGCTATGCATGGTCTTTTGTTGTTCCATATAAATGTGTGGATAGTTTTCTCCATTTCTGAGAAAAGTGTCATTGGAATTTTGATGGGGATTGCATTGAATCTGTAGATCACTTTGGGTAATATGGACATTTTCACAATGTAAATTCTTCCAACTGAAGAGCATGGGATATCTTTCCATCTTCTTGTGTCCTCTTCAATTTCTCTCAATAGTGGTTTGTAGTTGTCTTCGTAGAGATTTTTCACATCCTTGGTTAACTTTATTCCTAAGTACTTTATTTTTTTGTTGGCTATTGTAAATGGGCTAGCTTTCTTGATTTCTTTTTCTGCATGTTCACTGTTGGAGTGTAGAAATGCTCCTGATTTTTGTGTGTTGACTTTGTATCCTGCAACTTTGCTGAAATCATTTATCAACTCTAAGAATGTTTTTGTACAGGCTTTAGGTTGTTCAATGTATAGGATCATATCATCCACAAACAGGGACAGTTTGACTTCATCTTTTCCAATCTGGATGCCCTTTATTTCTTTCTCTTCTCTGATTGCTCTGGCTAGTACTTCCAACACTATGTTGAAAAGGAGTGGTGAGAGTGGGCATCCTTGTCTAGTTCCTTTTCTTAAGGGAAAAGCTTTCAGCTCTTCCCCATTCAGAATGATATTGGCAGTGGCCTTATCATATATGGCTTTAATTGTGTTGAGATACTTTCCATCTGTACCTTACTTATAGAGACTCTTTATCAAGAACGAATGAATTTTGTCAAATGCTTTTTCAGCATTTTTAGAGATGATCATATGGTGTTTGTCTTTGCTTTTATTGATGTGGTGTATCACACTTATTGATTTGCATATGTTGAACCAACTTCGCATCCCTGGAATGAATCCCACTTGTTCATGGTGTATAATTTTGTGTATGTGTTGCTGTATTCTGTTACCTAGTATTTTATTGAGGATTTTTGCATCTATATTCATTAAGGATATTGGCCTGTAGTTTTCTATTTTTGATGTATCTTTGTCTGGTTTTGGGTATCAGGGTGATATTTACCTCATAAAATTAGTTTGGGAGAATGGCCCCTGTTTCAATCTTTTGGAACTGTTTGTAGAGAATTAGTATCAGTTCCTCTTTGAAGGTTTGGTAGAATTCTGCAGTGAACCAGTCTCATCCTGAGCTTTTCTTTGTTGGGAGCCTTCTGATAACAGCTTCAATCTCGTTTATTGTTATTGATCTGTTCAGATTTTCTATATCTTCTTAGCTCAGTTTTGGTAGTTTGTAGTATCTAGAAATTTATCCATTTCCTCCAGATTTTCAAATTTGTTGGCATATAGTTGTTTATAGTAGTCTCTAATGATTCCTTGTATTTCTGAGGTATCAGTTGTAATATCACCTTTTTCATTTCTAATTTTTGTTATTTGGGTCTCTCTCTTCTTTTCTTAGTTTACCTTGCTAAAGGTTTGTCAACTTTATTTATCTTTTCAAAAAAACAACTTTTTGTTTCATTGATCTTTTGTATCATATTTTGGGTTTCTATTTCATTTAGTTCTGCTCTGATCTTAATTATTTTTTTCTGTCAACTAAGTTTGGGTTTGGATTGTTCTTGTTTTTCTAGTTCTTTAAGGTGAAGTGTTGGGTTGTTTGCCATCTTTCCATTCTTCTGAGGTGAGCATTTAATGTGATAAATTTTCCCCTTAGTGCTGCTTTTGCAGTATCCCACAGGTTTTGGCATGATGTGTCATTATTTTCATTATTTTAAAGAAATTTTTTGATTTCCTGTTTAATTTCTTCTTGGACCCATATGTCATTAAGTAGAATGTTGTTTAATTTCCATGTGTTTGTACAGTTTCCAGAGTTTCATTTGTTACTGATTTCTAATTTTAATCCATTGTGATATGAAAAAATACATGGAATAATTCCAATTTTTTAAATCTGTTGAGACTTGATTTGTGACCAAACATGTGGTCTATCCTGATCTTACAAATCTTTACATTTCTTTATGCCTTGAGAAGTGATAGGTTGGGCACCATGACTTTTTAAAAGGAGTAAAACCCCTCCGACTTTCTCATTCCTTATGTTAAAATAAATTACATTCCTATGTCTTAATATTGGTGATGTCATTTCCCTAGACTGTAAGCTCCCAATGGGGAGGAATCATGTCTTATTATTTTTTAATTAAACTCCTGTACAATGCCGCATATCATTCTACATGTGAATATTTAATAAATAGATGGTATCTTAACAGAGAAAAATTATTATTAAAGCATTTGGTGCTGTATGATTTCTATAGTGAACACACTGTTTTATTTTTTGCAGTAAAGAAAAAAATATAAAGAATGAAAACAAGATTATTCCCAAACCTTAAAACTTCTGGTGGCTTTTTTCCACAGAATGTCATGTAGCCATCCTACTAATTCCGTTCTCAGTTGTCTTCCTGTTTGGTGACCTAAAAACCAAACAAACAAACAGACCCAGGCTCTGAAAACAAGAATCTAGATCTATTACATTAAATAGCAAGTGCTAACTATACTCAGAACCTATAATCTTTAAGTAATGGGGCTATAAAAACAACCACATTCAGACAGGTTTTCATCATCAATTTAAGGTTTACTACCGAAATTGATTATATAATACAATAAGGGTTTGCTAGAATCACTGTAATTCTCCCATCAATCTGTGATAGTTTTCCAGCCTTAGTCTCTTTTTAACTTATTTTCTGTGCTCCAAATTAGATCATCATCTGGTGCCTTAACAAGGTTCCTGTGAATGAGCAGAGAGCAATGCCAGAAATCATTAATAAGAAGTGTTTATACTATTATATACTAAATAGATCAGATCAAGTTCACAAAAAAAGGCCAATTACACCTTAAACCTTTTGTAAAATACTTTAAGACCACACGTACACATAAAACTTTAAATCGGAACTTGTGCCTGATCATTTCTGGTCTAGACGTTTATAGGGTTCAAATACATTAGAGCACATTAAGATAAAGCTTAAACTATAGTAGAATTCTATATATCCTTTTCTTCTGCCTCTTTGGCACAAACTATTTCCAGAAAAGTCTTGATTAGAACACTAAGAGTCTCTGACCAGTCAGTAAATGTAGTTTGTTCCATGACTTAGTTAAAAATACTCACATGAGAGTAAACAGCTACTTAATGTGTCTACTTAAAATTCTATAATACTTGGAGATTAGCAGTGTATAATTAGATATCACAATAAAACTTTATCTAACTGGAATTTTAGGAAAATGGGTTATTCTGTATAATCAAGTTTTCTAGTTAGCTGACAGTTTCCTTTTTTTTTTTTTTTTTTTTTTTTTTTTTTTT